GATGCACACGTATATTTAGGCATAAAAGATAGCATTGGAAAAGAATAGTAACTAGCCTCTAGCATAGCTTCCACACCGAGAGCGACTAAGAGGTTGAAAAGGTCAGCGAAGGTGACAATTTTATGCAATTTAGATGAGGCATCTACACCAGTTGATGATTTTTGATGTAACTGAAGTGGATATCGTGAAGAAAAATTCTCTGCATGTTCAAAAACTTGAGAACATGAATCACCAATACTGACAGGCGCTTCATGAACCTTAGTTGAGGCAGGGAGAAAAGAGCCTTTTTGTATAACTGGGGATGAACAGTCAAGTGATACAGCACGCTGCAAGAGGACATAGCCTGAATCGATTCCGAAACCTTTTTTAGGTGGAATTTGAATTATTGTGACTCCAGATATCCGATCATTCGCTGCCAACGCATGAGAAATAGGCGAGGCCCCACGCCAACGGGGCAGCAATGAAGGATGGACATTAATTACACCGTTATGGAAACTTTGGATCTGATCAAATACATAAAGGAATAAATAAGTAATCACTGAAAGCAATTTAGATATTCGAGGGCATTCTGCAATGCCTGAAATTATTTAATATTTGCTTAAAACAAGGTTTATTATTACTCTTAAAACAAATGAAATTTTATTCTAGTATGGATTGGATTACAATTAGACTCACTTCCATTTCAATGGAAGGAATTCGCATGTCGCTCTTAAAGGGTTTCTCTTAATCAAATGCCATTTGGCCCTAAAGAGCTAGTTGATAAAACTATCAATAAAATTGCTTTCAATTAAGATGAAGACGAGCTTCATACGCTAGATATAGTAAAACTTGCCAGTGAAAGAAAGAAAAGCTGATCTAATGTTAAATCAAAAGCCAGTTATCAGTTTAATGGAGTACTATTGTGCATCAAAGCTCACAGACAAATCCTCACATTCTATGCATCAGCCTAGAGAGATCATGATGCCAAAAATATCACCTAACGATACTGTATCATAAGTGACACAGTTCTTGCTAAGGTTTCACTCAGTCTCGAAGTCCATTTATTACGTATACAGGTAACGTAGTCGATTGTGGTGGTAAGTTTGGTTCAATGATAATCCCATCTTAAAATTTGACACGGTAGACGCCTGGCTTGCCTGGAAAGTCATATCGAATCAGCGACTTTCTGGCATCTCTTACTGGTGTAATATTTACGCGTGTTACAACTTAACGTTCATGATCCGTCTTAAGGTGAAAGCTGATAAGATCAAGGAGATGGCGAAAATGCAATCCAATCCGAGTGAATACTTTAACATAGGCGAGGCCAAGTAAAATCGAGCTGCATAGTAAAGCCGTTTTATATAACTACGGGATAATCCAAATAGCACTACTTCATTATCCGTAGTTCTTTTATAAGAATTAGTGTGAATAAACCGAGGTCCAAAAATTCAATTGAATTGGCTTTGAATAAATATGTAATGTTTATTCATCATGAAATCCTTAATATTAATAATGAGCTTGAGTAAAACCTATCTATGCATTTTAGGCAACAAATGAATGAGACATAGAGGCTAAGGTGTCGTGGCCTTTATTATAGTCGCAGACTCCTTTTGATGTATAGAATTTGACTGACCTTATTTTCACAATTTGGTAGTGTTATCAGGGCGATCTAGTTGGACTCACCTTGTCCGAAGTCCTATGCTACATTAATTATGATACTTCCCAGCGTCGGATCGTGGAATTGATACATTCACAGACGTCAGCATAGTCAACGAGTCTTGCCAGTCTCAGCACCAGGTTACGACTCGTCAAAGAGACAAGAGAAACTAATCTCTTAACCAACTTTCTGCAGAACGGTTATGCTATTGTTCTTCTTACTTTCCTGGCACATCTATCTACTCTCTATCCTCTTATCCCACTTCTGCCATATAGCAGCTTCTGACCTGTTTATATTCAACTTCTATATACGGTCTGCCTCTCATGGTGTCATCACACCTGCTGTTAACCTTCCCACTCTCCCTCTCGATTTGCTCATCCGACTCAGACCTCTTATCCTAATCTCCCTTACCGACCAGCAGATTTGTTTTTTATCTTACTAGTTGATTGACTTCACTCAGCTCAAGTCCAAGTATACGTTTTACTTCAGGCCTTATTTCTCAAGCATTTAGAGGCACGTACATTATCGCCTCACCGAGCAGAGCGTCTAGGCTTTGATTCTTATGCTTGCAGATATCAGGCATTGCCTCTATAGTTCATCTCGTGAATATATATCCCTGGTCGTTTGTTGCATCTCGAGGGGATTTATAATCAATATAATCATAATGGCGAATTTTCACCACAGCTAAGATTATCCATCTCTCTAGTCCTGTGACCACCAGGCCTCCAAAGTTGTTTCTTCGAGCACACTTCTTGTCTTTATTTCCAAAGGTTCCTCATTCGCTTCTTCCTTGTGATCCATTTTCCTATAGTTAGTGACAGATCAATCCAGGCATAATCTTTTTGTTGGTCTTGCCGTATCCCTGTCTGCTCAGAGTTTGCTTAGCAATAGGCAAAGTTGTCACTAGCTCTCCTTTCTTCCGATCTTCTGTTCATTACATTTTTTCCCCAAGTATGTCAATGGCCTCTCTAATCTTCCGCTTCCTCATGGGCCCTTCTTTCTGTTGCCTTCCAATTGACGTAGTGTCAGATCTGTGAAATGTGTTCCGCTATATCCAATCTTTCAGTGTCCAGTTTCCTGCTGAGCCTTTGATGTTAATCGATTTGTACGTATTTCGCCAATATATTCCAGTTTGCAGACTCGGCATGTTATGCAGTAGACTCCAAAGCAATCCACTATGCCTACCTTCTCATGTTGCGTGGTTAGACTTGTGAAGTGCTGTTTTTTCCTTCGTGGTCACCCGAATATTCAACTTTCTTAATATTGGCCGAAGTTTTGAGCTAGTTCGCATGGAGGCACATACACTCTTGTTAATCTTTCTTCCACAACCCATGTCCTATCATCTGCTTTTCACGCCCCTTGTATGCCTTTGTATTACTTTTCTCAGATATCTGTTGCCAATGGACATCTAAATCAATTTGCAAAATTCTTCATCTGCTAGTCGTAGGCTTCTGATAATCATGATCCCCATCATTTCCATATTTAGCCTGTAGTTGTGATGGGATTGGAAATTGAGTATTATTCCGGCATAACTAATTTCTCAACAA